GATATATCCAGGGCTACAAATTCAAGTTTAGAAAGATTTAACATTATTTAGGAAAAGAAAGTTCTTACCTCAGATACTTTCAAAATATTTGCTCGAGATGGTAGAGCTTCGTTATGATAACGTGTTATGAAATAAAGACTATAAAGTAAAGACAAGTATAGAGAGAAACTGATATATTATTCGAATTCAAACTGATGTACATAATGAACTGAAATCTCTTCTATTTATAGAAGAAAAGAAGGTGCTCTGTAAGCTGCTACTACAAGCTGATGTGTAAGCTGCTACTACAAGCTGCAGTGTAAACTACTATAAGCTGTTGTGTAAGCTGCTACTACAAGCTGCTGCTGTACCAGATATGGATAATCTTCTACTGAGAGCAATATTTATCCATAACGGAGTACTGAATGGATAAGCTTATTATACCCGGTATGGATAATCTTCTACCGGGGTAATGTTTATCCATAAATGGGTACTGAAAAGATAAGCTTATTATACCTGATATGGATAAACTTCTACTGGGGGTAATGTTTATCCATAACCGGGTACCGAAGTGATAAGCTTCTTCAGGAAGCTTATTTCCAATATAGTACTAAATAGATAAACATATTTACGGTGGAGTCCCATATGAATAAGCTTCTTCAGGAAGCTTATTTACAACGGAGTACTAAATGAACATCCATAATATAATATATTTATAACAGGATGAGTAATTTTAAGGAGTTTTTAAGCTTTATGAAGGTATAACGGTATAAGAAATATTTATACAATTAGGTCATATATAAAGTAATTATAAGTAATTTTTTTTATAACCTAATAAAATAACATTAGTCTGCTATCATGGATTAATATTCACAAAATAATTTGCAATATTTTTTTAAGTTGTCAGCGTATATAACTTAAATTTTAACTTTACGTGGCAGACAAGTGAGAAAACTTTAACTTCTTATCAAGCCTGTAATAGGAGGCACTAATCGACCAAAAAACGGGAGTAGTCTATTGTCTCTTGGAAATTTGGATTAATGCGTTGGACGAACATTAATATTCAATAGTACGTACCAGAACAAAGACAGAATAAGATTCAAGCATAACCGTAGGAGCAGCTAATGCTCATTTGAGGATAATAGAATTTTAATGGATTTGTGGAATATTATAAGAGAATGAATTAATGGGGAACATCTCAAAAGATAATGCTGCTGATATCAACCATAATAATGAATTGGTTTTTTTCCTAATCACTTTACTACATGTTTGACCTCAATGTTCGCCTTTCCAATAATTTTGCAATTATCTGGTAATTTGATTTACTCTTTTATTATTCCTCCTCAAATAGTAACAGTAGGAGCAGTTTGTATCCACCGACTTAAAATTCTGAAAATTTGCCTAATTTGGATCGTTCAAGAACATGAAGAGATAAGTAATTTGTACTCTGGACACGTAAGAATTTTAAAAATCTTTATTCAGGTAATTTTCCAATCAGCTTTAGTATATAACCATTAATTAACAAGAAGTCTGCCTTTTCGCCAATCTTAATGCTTTACCAACGTGAAAAGAAAAAAAAAATTCTTCAACATGACACACTGCATATGGAGCGAGAATAAGAATTTGTAAGAAAAATTTAACACGACCAACGGGTGTGATAGGATGGATCTCCATTCTTAACCAGAGTATCGAGGTTCGAGTTTTGAAAATGAAAAAAATCTTCTGACAGACAGTCGCGCATTTAATGTGAGAATTTGGATCAATCTGGTTAGTGGGTTCGAAGTAACCCAATAAAACAAAAATTGAGACACACCTGTGCCTGACGTGAAAATGAAACCACCTGAAGATTAGCGTTTTGCATCAAAATTAAGTGGATAGTGGAAGTCCAGTAACATCTTCCACCAACAAATAGAACCAACATATCTAGTAGTAAAATAGAATTTCTTCAAACTTATGCTTTTCCTTTTGCATGCATCTCGTTCTCTCTTTCTATCCTACTATTATATACCCATAAATTAAAGCGTTTTTAAATGGAGCATTTACATTGAACAAATTATTCCATATTAAATATACAAGCTAACCAATTTTCCTACCACAAATTTTTCTTTTTTCTTTTATTTTGATATTGATTGATCAGCTTCCACCCACAAATTTGGATAGATGTAGACAGCACTTTCTCTCTTTCTTAAGCAAAACTATAGTATTTATACCTTAGAGGAATACTAAACAGTTCAGAAACAACCATCTTAAATACTTGCATGTTTTTTGACAAGGTCTTCTGAGCTAGATTTATCATCCTTCATATTTTGCTCTCCAAAACTATCTATTAGGCTCCAAAGAAATGGGTGATATGTTGCGTTTGGCAGTAGGAGTAATGGGTATACCATACTTTTATTTAACTCCACTTTTCTTTTCCATATCTGGAAATAGTTTTTATATATAATTAACTATAGTATTACATGATATATAAACGTGCATGGTTTTATTTGTCCCAGGGAATGCCGCCTCCATGTTGCTCTATGCTGCACCTATGTAATTATAATCTATTTTAATTTCTACATTGTTAATATTATTAAACCTCTAGTTTTTGTTGTTCTAATAATATTGTTTATATAACATTTTCTTCCTTGTGTTTGACAGGCTGACTTTCTCTAGAGTTATAAAGAAGAAGAATACCGAAGGATTTTCATGCGTACCTTACGTACTAGCATTGTTCAACTGTTGTCTCTACACATGGTATGGGTTACCAGTAGTAAGTTATCGATGGGAAAATTTCCCAGTGGTTACTATTAATGGAATAGGGATTCTTTTGGAGATCTCTTTCATTCTCATATATTTCTGGTTTTCTTCCCCTAAAGGAAAGGCAAGTAGAATATATCTCAATTTTCTGAATATGGCACGTTATTTTTTTTTTTCTTTGTATAGCATAGTGCATTATTAATTACTTAGTTTTTTTTTTCTTCTGAAAAGCAGAAGGAGGTAGCTAATATGGTGGTGCCTATAATTCTAATATGCGTGGCAACAGGAATTATATCTGCATTTGTATTTCATGATCACCGCCGTCGCAAGGTTTTTGTAGGGAGCATTGGACTGGTAGCTTCAGTCGCTATGTATGCTTCCCCTCTAGTTGTTGTGGTAAGTTTTTTTTTGCTTTTTCATGACTTTAACTTCTCATTCTCGGCATTGAGTCCACATATAGTGTATAAAATTTAATTTTTACGCCATCAATCAGCAAGTTAAGTTGACTTAAAATAAAAATGTTCGTGACAACTCTAATAAGGAAATCTGAAAAACATAGTTAAATTGAATTGATAGTGAACTTTTTTTTACTGTAGTATATATATCTTAATTCTTTTTTTCATTTACGTTTTTTCCCCGTAAAGTACTACTAGTAGTTTAAGTTTTATGTATTATGGGGTTTGTCTCGCAATCTAATGGGACACATGCACCATGAGAGGGACTTATTAAGTGGACTATCTAATTATTGATATCCCTCGGACATAATAAACTATAAGGAGTAATTATTGTCTGGACAGACGACAGTATCAACCAAAATGTTAAAGCACTTATACGTTGTAAAATTTCTTAAAAGATTCTAATTATAAGCTTATACAGGTTGCTCATGAGCATGATGACTAGACCCCTTCAATTTTTTTTTTTTTTTATAATCTTTTTGTCTATTTCGATTATATTTAATTAAATTATTACTCATGTACGTGCGTACTAATTGGGTGCAGAGACAAGTGATAAAGACAAAGAGCGTGGAATTTATGCCATTTTACTTGTCATTTTTCTCATTTCTTGCTAGTTGCCTTTGGATGGCCTATGGTCTCTTGAGCCATGATCTCTTTCTAGCGGTTTGTCTATACTAACCTACCTTCAATTCCTTTTTCATAAATTCAAAGCTAGATGAATAGTGTTATAATATAAACTACTTGTCATTTCAGTCTCCAAATCTGGCGGGAACACCCCTGTGTATCCTGCAGCTTATATTGTATTGCAAGTACCGAAAGAACCCCATAAAGGATTTAGAACCAAAGAAATGGCCAGATTTGGAATATAACGATGAGAAAATCAAGCAAGAATTCCCATTGGATGAGATAAAAGAATCGAAGTTAATTGTCACTGAGAATCTCAGTACCAAGACTTGAAGAGCTTTTAGTAATTTATTACTTAAGGTAAGGTATATTATACATATTCTCACATTTGTGTGTTGCTATCTATTTAATTAACTTATGACTTTGTTTCATTCTTGTTATCTATTGGAAAGTAATAATTAGAGTTTTGTTACCATTTTATTTTTGGACAAGTAGGTAAAAACTTACTCGATCAAGGAGTTGCGCTCACCAACGTTCAGAAAGAGGACCAAGAAATATTTGCATGCATTGCTTTGTCGGTTGTGTAACCCTTTAATTCTCTTGAGGAATTGAACTAGTTTATTTTGTGCCTCAAGCTTCTAGTTTTCTTTCTTAAACATTTTCACTTTAGTTTTGAGCTATATAGTTGACCCAGCAATCACATATTTTACTCTGCTTTATAAAACAGAGATTATTCTATAATAAGCCCCTATCAAACAGGCAGTTGTCAGGCGTTGCAACAGGAACCATAAAGTTTAGTACAAAATCTCAAATTATTTCTTGACTCATCAGTCACGATTAAGGAAAGACTAATATATGAAAGCTAATCAAATACTACATCCACGATATCCACTACTACTCGTTTTTTTGGTTGGAAGAAAGAAAAGGATAATAATAATTTTATTTGATGTGGAATAGAAAGGAAAGAAGAGGTTTCATTAGAGAGGACAGTTGAGCGGAATTTCAAAAACCATAAGAGTTCTTGTTTATGACCTTGTTATTTTTTCCTCCTCTCCCTAGGGCCTAAACTTCAGCGACACATCCAATTCATACTGTTGATATTTTGACACAACTACCACAAGTTTGGCGAAAAAAGCCACGTGCCAGACAGTATCCTATTCCTATTTGTGTCATTCGCCCAAAAAAATTTTAGGGACTAAAAGGAAAGGAGAGGAATTTTAAAGCACGCTGGACATGATTTTCCTTAAGCGCCAGAATTTAAATACATGCTGGGCAAGATTTCCCTTAACAGCTGTTAATCTGTTATGGTGATTCTCAGGATTTTGCCAGAATGCTGAAAAATTCTGGTGATCGTCAAGATTACTGGCGCTTCAAAGTTATGGCGTTTAAGGAAAATTCTGCCCAACATGAGCATTTTTCCCAAAAATGCATCAGAACTACCAAAAAAGAACAGAAAAGCATCAGATTATGCCAGGAAAGTGAATGCAGCTCCAAAAACTAATAGTCGTACTGTTTCTTAGGAGACCCTTGTAAAATATAAGATTTATTCCAAAACAGCATCAGAATTACCAAAAAAGATCAGAATTTTGCTGGGAAAGTGGACACAGCTCTAGAAGCTAATATTCCTACTATTTCTTAGGAATTTGAAATCTAAATCACTTTGTGATCTATAATGTCAGAGGATAATGAAAGAATATATACTGAGGACCCGTCAAAATTGTTGAAGACTGTATGAACAAGAACGACAATATCTCAGGATATATCAACACATACTGACCCTGTGCCTTTGAGACCAAGTATGATTTTCGACATGCATTAATCTGGACAGAAAGGCCTCATATACAGAGATCAGCCATTACGAATCCAGGACTAATTTTTATCTCAGGCACCCAAAGCGAGGCAAGATCTAGATAAAAAAAAAACTGGGGGAAAACAGAGTAAAAGCATAGAGAAGTCAAAATGATGAAACAGCAAGAACACAAATTTTAGGTGATGCTATGGATTCATCATGATGCTAGTTGCATTTTTTTGGACAAAAAACTAATAACCTCAATCAAACACCGCGGATGTTCTGCAAGATCAATATAATTAGGAGGATTGACTAAGATAGTAACTCCCTTTCCCAATATAATCTTGAAGAAGTACAATCAAAATTAATTTCGGAGTTCACATTTGCTGTTAGATTTTCCAAAGTCGAGTAAATTATATTACAAAAATGATGTGTTCTATCATCTACATAAAAAAATTGAACCTTGTTGTTTAGTTCAATCCAACTATATCCAGGATCCTTCTTATACTGCAGATTTCTCAATACTTTCCTCGCTCTCATCTTCTGCGACCACCTGCCAAATCCTGCATACATATTGGACATGATAACACAGCCGGATGTAGACTTGGGATCCAACGAGAACAGTTTCTCAGCCACCCTCTCACCAATTTCCACATCCATCCAGAACCAACAAGCATTAAGCAGTGCAACAAAAATAATGCTATCTGGTTCAATATGCATTCTGTTAACAAGCTTCTCAGCTTCATGTAGATGGCCTGATCTACCAAGAAGATCTACCAAGCACGTGTAGTGTTCCAGGGTGGGTGTTATACCATATTGTTCTTGCATAACGTGGAAAAGTCTTGTGCCCTCCCCCACCAGACCTACACGAGTACAAGCCAATAAGACACCCACAAAAGTTGCTGCATTTGGATCGATTCCTTCGTCTAACATTTGGTGAAAACATTTAAGCGCCTCAGAGCCAAGCCCATGATGTGCATACCCATTAATCAGAGCTGTCCATGCTGCTACATTAGGAAAAGCAATGCTGTGAAACGACGCTTGAGCATCACCAAGGCTCCCACATTTGGAGTACATGTCAACAAGAGCTGTTCCAACATAGTTATTGGATCCGAATGGAGTTTTAATCAAATCTGCGTGAATCAATTTACCTTGCTGAAGTGATCCAAGGCAGGAGCAAGCGTGAAACAGGAGAGCAAATGTTGACCTAGTTTGGCTAATTGCTAACCTTCTCATGGTCGTATACAACTTTAACGCACTCTCATGTTGATCATTTTGGGTATATCCTGAAATCATAGAATTCCAAGTAACAGAATTTTCCTGTACTTTGGCTTCTTCAAAAAGCTGGACAGCTTTATCGATTCCACCATTCCTTGAGTACACAGTAATCATGGTATTGAGGGAAATTAAAGTTCTTTCCGGCATCTCCAGAAACAACTGTTTTGACTCCTCCACTAGGCCAGACATGGCATATCCTTTGATCATCAAACTGTATGAAGCAGGATCCCGCTTGATTAATCCGTTAAACAGTGATCGAGCTACCCCAATCCTGCCTGCCTTGATTAGCCCTCCAATCAGCAAGTTTGAATCATTTAAGGAAGGATTAACTAGTGCACTATAGACCAACATAGCATCATCAAGAACCTCACAATTACAATAAAAATCAACCAGTGCACCAGAAACTGAATTATCCCACTCAAACCCAAGCTTCACTACCAACCCATGAAGTGCTCTACCCTCATAAAAAGATCCCAATCTACCGGAAGCCCTCAAAGCACAGTCCAAGGTGTATTCATTCGGGACCACGTTATCATCCTCTCTCATTGACCTAAACAACTCTAAAGCCTTGTGACATCCACCTTCAACCTTTGAGTATCCAGAAATCAAAGTGGTCCAAGCAACAACATCATGGGTTGGCATTTTCCTAAAAATCTCAAAAGCATCAGTTAGCAGATTACATTGAACATATCCCGCAAGCATCAAGCTCCATAACAACTCATTCTCCTGATGCAACACATCAAATACCATCCTCGCATCTTCAATTTCACAACAAGTGGAGTAAAGATACAATATAGCACTACCCACAAAACGAAAACTTTGATATCCAGATTTCAAGACTAGCCCATGGACTTGCTTGCCACGGCTGAGCGACTGTGATCGAGCACAAACACTTAGAACTGAGGAAAAAGTAGATTCATTTAGCTCCATATAGCTGCCGTGCATCAAAGAAACTAACTTTAACGCTTCGGTGAACTTTCCCCATTCGGAATACCCAGAAATAGTGGTATTCCATGAGACAACGGTTCTCTCAGGCATTTCGTCGAACAGCTTTCGAGCTGGTTCAATTGAACCCTCTTTCATTAGCTCTGTTATGGCTTTGTTAGTGGAGACAACGACGTCGGACTTCGATGGCGGAGCATTATTTCTATAGTAGCATATGTTCGAAAAAAATCTCAGACTCCCTTTCCAGCGGTGATGCTTCCAGGGACCCGTAAATAATGGCCTTATAATCATTTCTTTATTTTTACTATCCTATCAAAGCAAACGGAGGCGACAGTAAAAATAAATTTTCAAGATGGTTGCAATCTACGAGTTTTGGTCAGACTGATACAGTTTCTCCTCCGTAAAAACTCATGCAGACACATGACTTTGGCCTTTTTTGGGATATAATTTTTAGCTTATCAAAGGTTAACATTTTATTTATTTTAAATAAATATCATTTAAAAAAAATTATATTCTATAGATACTTTTTATGTTTATAGCAAAATATCTAATTTTGGTTAAAATACTACCCTAAGCCACTAAATATGCTATTTAGTTACACAATTTTCTTTCTCTCTCTACTTTGATACATCTCATTCTCTTCCCCAATCCCATTAAAATTTTCGCCTCCTCCTCCTAACGACATCTTCTCTTTGATTCACGTTAATCAATCCTTCAAAATCCAACGACCAGCAACACAACAACAACAAGCCCTAACCCGGAGACTCAATCATGCCGAAGCAAATCCACGAAATCAAGGATTTCCTTCTCACAGCAAGAAGGAAAGATGCACGATCTGTCAAGATCAAGAAGAATAAGGATATGGTCAAATTCAATGTTCGCTGCTCCAAGTACCTCTACACACTCTATGTGTCCGACTTTGAGAAGGCCGACAAGTTGAAGCAGTCACTTCCTCCAGGTTTGAGCGTGCAAGATCTTTGAAGATGGAAGGACTATTTTGCTACAAGGCGAAAATTAGGGTTTGTTCTTGAGCAAAGACGACGGAGTTTGGGGTGGAGCAACTTGATTTTTTGTTAATATATTTCAATGCATTTTCAACGTATCACGTTGTATTTTCATGTATTTCATTGTATTCATTGTCTTTTTTTCATTGTAATTCAATGTATCTCGCTGTATTCCGTGTATTTCATTGTATTCATTGTCTTCTTTTTCATTGTATTTCAATGTATCCCGCTGTATTCTATGTATTCATATGTTTTTTTAATTAATACAATTTATGTATTTAGATGTATTATATAATTTCTCTAAAGATTGCTATATTTTTGGAGTTTTTTCCAATTGAAAATCTTTTTTATAATCGGAAATACAAATTTAGTGTATTATAATTGAGTTTGTTGAGTTATATTAGGAGTCTATTATGTTAATTGATACACTTTCCGTTTAGAAACAGCGTAATCCCCTATTTCACGCCGTGAATACAGTCGAATACAGTAATCTGTCCAGATGTAATCCCATGTTTCACGCCATGAATATAGTCGAATACATTCTAATACAACAACTGATTAGCTGGACTTCCCTGATTCACGCTCATTTTTGCTACTGTATTCATGAATACAAT